GTGGTTGTTTGTTCTGCGACGCGAAGGAATGCGTCGGCCGTGGCAGGGCGCCGGGAAGCGCCACCGAAGTTGTTGCGAACCATATGTTGCCACTATGGTTGTGTAGTGCGTGGTAGTTGTGGCATGCGCGCGGTGTCTGATTCCTCGACTGGAATTGTGCTGGGAAGAAAGAAGTGTGACAAAGTCAACGTTGGAACCGGTTGCTTAGGCGAAGGAGGTCGCACAGGGGAAACGCCGCGTGTCTGCGTGGAAACCGCTGCGGGGGCGGCACCTGGCGATGTGCGTCACGTAGAGCCTGCGCGGACGTCACCATCGGCACGCGTAGAGACTCGGTCCTGCTGGTGGTCAGGAGGCGGGGTTGGATAGTGGATCTGGGTGTTGCCCACGTGGGCTGCCACTGTACCTTCGTTGGTCGTAATGTCGTGGTGCATATTGGGAACACTCTGTTGCCTGCCACGTATAGCATCGTTCGTGTCGTGGGTGCGCTGGGAGTACCTGTCCACCCATTGCTCTAAGTCCCAGATTCGTCGGGTGTGCTCCGCGTCTTTGTTTCAAACGGGTGAGTGTTTCCTCTGCCCGCGCCGTTTTCCGGCGTGTATTTCATGGAATATTTGGGTCAATCGCAACTGCGCGTGGTCCGCCGCGAGGTGTGCGTCGGCCATTCGGGCTTCGAGGACGCGAACTCGCAAACCGAAGTCGGGGCGCCCAGCTGCGCAGTCTGGGTCCGCACATCGCGCAACTCAGCCAGTGCAGTCCTTATTTCAAGTAGCTGCTGCTCGGCCGCGGACACTCGGTTCCCAAGCGTTGGCACGCGTCCCTCGGAGGCGTCAATGCGTTGAGCGAAGGTCATCTCGGCGCCACGCAGCTCGCTGTTCAACTCAGACGTGAGCGTGGTACGTTGGGAGTGTAGCGAGGCACGGGTCATCTCGCCCTGGGCGCGAAGTGCGTTGATATCCTCAAGTAGCTGTTGATCCGCGGGCCCATGCACCTCCACAGGTGGGATCTGTCGGACAATGAGGAGCTCATCGCGTAAACTCCTACTGGCGGAAGTCCCGTCAGTTCTGACCTCGCGAAAAGGGCCTCCGCCCTCGGCATGTAGTCATGGAGCATATGGATTGAGCTGGAATCGGAACCCCGGTGTGACTCCATCTTGTCAACTTGATACTGGACCTGAATGATGATCGATCGATCTTCAGCGATGCGAGCGTCGACCAAAGCAAGAGTTTACTGAAACTCCTGTCTGCAAGTTGCCGTCGCCGCGGCCAGACCGACAACTGTCAAGTCGCGCAGGTTTCAACCTGGCCTCGAAGCTCCGCCGTGTCACTAGCGGTGGGAGAGGCGCGCGACCCTATGTCGCACGGTCGGGAGTTATGCCAACCGGGTGCGTCTCTGGAGAGGACTGCGACTGGCGTCCGGAATAGGAGAGCGAATGTGATACCGTTTTGGAACCTTTCGCTAAAAGGTACATCCGCTGCGAGTCTCCATGGCACGCACATGTTCGGAGACAGACACGTTCGCGGGCGATGTGACCGTAGCCCAGCGGCGGTGGCGCGCGAAAGCGTTGTCTGGAGACAAAGCCGCAGCGCTGCCACTGCGGGTGTTCCCACCGACACAACTTGCATCAACGAAGGTTTGATGAGGGGCGGGGTGCGCGGCGAATCCAGCCGCGACTCCGAGGACAACTGCACGTGTTCCCACCGGCACATGATGCGTCTTTGCGGACGTATCCGGCGCCGCGGGAGCCGAATCCAGCCGTGGTTCCGAAATCCTCGGCGAGTGAGCGCGCGCGGGAGGCGGCGGCAGCGGTGAGTCTGGTAGAAACTCGCCAGGAGCAGCCGCGAGCGAGGCGGTGCTTCCTTTTTCCTGGAAGGGGGGAAATGGGTATCACAGATTCTCTCGCCCTCTCCGCAGAGCCGTCGCGCCCGCGCGCCGTCGAAGACGCCGCGCGCATAGAGGCACTACACCCCGATGGGGGGCAGCGCCATGCGGCGGGGTTGATCACGACGCGATTCGCAACAGCGAGTAGCGTGAACAATACGCGAGTAACCTGTGCGCAGGGGGATACGACCGCAAGTTCGATCTTATACTAGGATCCGTAAGTAGAGGCAAAACAGGGAGAGGTTTGCCACTCATGTTTCCTGGGCGCTGCGCGGAGAGCAGCGCGGCATCATGTTCACGCCAATACCTGAGCCGTTACGTTAGCGGTATATGATGATATGATGGTGACATTAACGGACTTCACACACAGGGGGCGGGGCAGGAAACGTTGAGGAAAGGAAACCAGGAAGGGCTGGGGAAGGAAAAAAAAATTCTCGCCCATCAGGGTTTCCGACTGCCTCTGGTGGCCCTAGAGGCTCCCAAAGAAAGCTCCCAGACGACAACACGAGCCTCCAAAGGAGGGCCCCAAGACGGCGCCAGCACGCGCAAAATTGTCTTTACGACGGAGTAAACGGCCCAAGACGGTCCCCACGGAGGCTCAATATGGCCCAACCACCAGCGTTCCCCTGGTGGTGCCCCCAAGTGCTGAAGGAACACCCAGACCCCCTAGCATGGCAGCATGGCCGAACTTTCAGCCGACATTTTCACAACGCACACATGTCAAGGAATGCAGGAACGGAGGTAATTTGCCGGGGACATTTTCGGCCAGACCATCGCAGCAATCGCATCCAGGGCGACACTGGTTCAAAACCAAGCTCCCGAGGCAACGTCATGATACGCCACATCTGCATGTCGTGTAGCTAGGCGAAAAGGAGGCCGATCCCTGTCAAAATATGCCTCTCACAAGCTCATGGGACGCTCATTTTTCACGGGGGCGTTTCCCGCAGAAGGGGCCCGGGAGGGCAGGGTTCGTGCGTAGCATCCCTGATGCGTAATGAATGTTCCCTGGCCTCCCGCCTTCCCGCTCTAGACATACTTGCATCCTCCCCCCCCTCACCAGCCTGCTTCTCCGGTCCCTTCTCTCTCTTTCTCTCTCTCTCTCTCTCTCTCTCTCTCTCCCTCCCCCTCTCTCACTTACTCCTCCTCCTCCCCCTTCTCCTCCTCCTGCTCCTCCTCCCCCGCCTCCTCATCCTCAATCAACTCCAACTGATGTCGCTCCTGTTCCGAAGTTTCCAGATCCCTTGTGCTACTATTGCTGCTGTACGGCCTCGTGATACGACTATGTTCACAATCCTTCTCCACACCTCCAACTGAGCCTTCCCCTCTTCCCGCAAATCTTGCGCGCGCGTATCATCCCACTCTGCCCCCTACCCCCCTTTACGATTGCCCGCACTGGATGCTACTTTACTGTCTCCCCGACCACATGCTGAAATTGTCCCGCCCTCTCCGTGCACGGTTTTCTTTGGTAACCGGGGTTCCGAAAACACGTACTCATGTTATATGGTGTCTCCTTTGGAATGTTGGTGGTGTTTCGAAATGGCGTTCCCGCCGCAGCGCGCGCCTAGCTTTAGGATCGGCACTGTGCTGTAGTCGTTCAGGATGGCGCTCTCGCCCCAGAGCGGGTTTTTTTTCTGGATCCGAGTCCTTCCTCGTCATGTCGCCCCGCTACTTTCCCCTCCTCCACCTTCCCCTGGCCCCCCTGCTCCTCCCGCTCCTGCTTTGAACGCGTCTGCGCGGACAAGCTTAGATGAGATGTCCTGTGCAAGAGAAGCGCACCGTAGATCCACTATTGGAACGCTGGCGCGGTAGCGGAGGAGACGAGCAACGCAATGGCTCGCCCCAAAAAGACGGCAATCCGTTGCCGCCAATCGCAAAGCGGCGACCGTGCACAACATGACACGGAGATTGCCCTAGTGCCCGTTGAAGTTTGCCATTGGCTGCGGCAGACAAGGGAACCAGCGGGGCCCGAGGGAACCCGAGTACCCTGAGACAATTGGCGGGAGGGAACCTGAGAAAAGGGCACTCCGGGAGCAAACGCGACATGCCTCGCCGAGAGCGTTTCCGGGGGCGCCTCGTCGAGGGCGTCGTTCGCCTCCGGAGGTGGGGGGCCCTCCGCAGTAACGTCCACGGCTCCGGACCTCTTCCCAAGCGATCGGATATCTTCTCTGAGGCGGTCGAAAGCAGCGCTATCCAGAAGCTCGGCCCCTAGTGACTCGGAGCGCGTGGCCAGACGAACCTGCTCAGCCGTGCACTTGAGCAACTTGGCTCTCATGGCCACCCAGACCGTGCCCCCCCCTTTACTCCCGCCGGCTCCCCCTGACTGGTAGATCACCACCCCCGGGCCCGTCCACCTGTCACGTTGGAGGGATTGGGAGCGGTTGGAGGCGGTGATTCTCCTGAACACGTAGACCCAGTCCCCGGGCCTGAACTCGCGGTCCTGGCGGGGACGCGCCCGAGCCGCCTCAGCTAACCTAGATCGCGCATCCAGACCAGCGAGCGCCTTCCGGGCCTCCTCGCGGATCCGATGCTGCCTAGCAAACTCGCCCGCAGCGGAATCCAAGTCCGTCGCTCTGGCTGACGCGTCCTCCGAGCCGATCAGGTCGATCGGATCGTCTGACAACAAACTTCGCGGGATCCCGGGGTTTTCCCCGAAGACAAGCTGCGAGGGACTGTAGCCTCCCCGGTGGAATCCCCGATTCTTACTAGCCACCACCTCGCAGAGGAGGAGGTCGGTTTCTTCTCTGGACCCGGGGTTGATCGACTGAGCGGCCTTCGAAAGGGCCCCCTTGATCAGCCCTCCGCGACGCTCGCGCTTGCCGTTCTGATGGGGGGGAGTTGGCTGGGATGACATGCTGCATCACCCCTAGATGCTCGCATCCTCGAGCGAACAATCCCTCAAACTCTCCTCCCCCGTCGCACGGCAGGACCTCTGGGGCCCCAAGCGGTCTCACCCACCACCTCAAAAACGAAGCCCACACGGTCTTGGCCGTATCGTCCGAAAGAAGAGCGCACTGATGAAACGAGGTTCCATGATCAATGATATTCATAACGGGGGTGCTCTTCCCGTCAATCTCCAGGTGAAACAGGTCCATCGCGATCACCTTATTAAAAGCATACGTGTGGGGCAAGTGCGTTTTTCGTCTCCAGCTGGCCCTAGTGCGAGAGGCGCGCTGGTCACACTTAAACTCATCCTTGACCCAGGCCAGCACCTCAAGGCGGGCACCGGCCACACGCAAAGCTCGGAGAAAATCCCCCGTCGAGGGGCGCCCTAAATTCACATGGAGACGAGCCACCTCCTGCTGCAAGGCCAAGTCCAGGGAAACCAACTTTTCGGGGCCGCGGGACCTTGGCTTTCCCTCCGCAGCAGCGGGGACGGACCCTCGAGGGTCCTCTTCATCAGAAACGAGGGGGCCGGCCTCCTCGGCCGGAAACGTCCAATGCTCGGACCCGGATGCCTCGCTTTGCTCGAAAAGAGTCGTCCAGTCTGCCTCCCGGCCTTGCGAGCGTTGGCGGTGAAACGCCAGAGCACCGTCTTCGACCCCAGACGCGAGACTACTGATCAGCTCCGGCGGGAAGTTCTCCGCCGCGTGAGTCCTGGCGCCGCCGAGGAGGGGTGCGTGCTCATGTTTCCGATGGCAACGACGCAACCAATGGGCCAAAAGGGGGGAAGAGTTGGACATCGCCCGGGTGGGTTTCTTGGCTGGTCCGAGGTCCCCGACCCATAACCCGTGCATACACTGATCAAGCTTAGAGACCCGGACCTCTGGCTTTTCACACAGCACTCGCACGCACTCCAGCCACCCTCATACACAGCTGCATCGCAGCGAGACCGAGCCCCCCCCCCTCCTCTTCTCGTCCCGGATCCATCCGCCCCCAGTTGGAGCCACGAGGGGCTCTAAATGCTTTACACATAGGAGTCATCACGACACAGAGCGGCTGATCCTCCTTGAGCTGCCGCCAGAGGCGCTCCTCTCCCTCAGGAGAGAGGAGATCGGTGCCCAGAAGGATATCCAAGGGCGCCGAGACACTATGCACGGCCCCGGCGCAGCAACTCAGCGGTAACCTTAGACGGACTGAACATTTCCAGAGCCGAAGCCCCCCCCCTCTGAGCCTCCCGCAACTTGACCACCTTGCGACGGGCCCTCCGGCCCGACCTAAGCCCCCCACCTCCTATGGCCCGGTCTGCGGCATCACGCACCTGCCGGGGGACTGACGGGGCCGCGGGAGCGACGGCTAGGCGGTCCTCTAAGGCTGCCGCTGTGAACCTGTCCTCCTCTATCAAGGTCGCTTCTTCCCTTCTCCTCGCCTCGTCCTCTTCGCCTCCTGACGGCCAGCCTTTTTCGCACCAAAAGGACACCTGGGGCGCAGACTTCAAAGTCGACTCGAGAGCCCCATTAATCTCTGAGGCCCCTGAAGTGGCCCACAAGCCGGAGAAAAGCACGGAATCTCTGAGACCCTTATTTCGAGCCACCTGGGACCCGAAAGAAGAGACGAGTCCGGAGGCTCCTCGCCGTCGATGCCAGCGAAAGAGGCCCTACGCTCCGAGGGGGAAATGCGGACGGGAGTCCATCCTTGACTCTCGCAAACCTGAAGGGGGAGGAGAAGGGTGCCCGATCTTTCCCCCCAGGAACCGAGAGTCCCTGGAAGACCGGCGGAAACGGGGGTTCCCTCGAGACCGATTCAGATAGGTGGCAAGATCCTTGAGGAAGATGTCTTGAGGGTTGCGACCGGGAAAGGGGTCGCGGGCCAGCTCGCTCGGCCACTCTGGGAAGACGTCGCTCAAGCGTCGGTAGTGCTCTCCTCCTCCTGTACCGCGGGCAAGTAGCCGGTTGGGGCCTTTCCCGATGAGATGGCCCGCACCAACGTCGCCAGGCGAAGGAGGTCCGAGTCCTGGAGCGTCGCCGGGCGGGGCGCGACCTCGGCCATCGCAGTCTCGGTCCAGTCCTTCTGGTCGGCAATCATGTTGCGGAGGCTCGTGATCATCCGCTCGTTGTCGCGGTGCTGCGCGCCCAGCGCCGCTGTCACATTGAAGAGCGCCCTCTGCATCTCACGCTCCGTCATCGACCTCGAGCCCGAGGCCTTCGGCGCCGCGTCGAGCTCCATCGAGATCGGAGGGGGCCTCGCGGAGATCAATCCCTCGTTGTGCTCGACCACCTGGATCCCGTGCTCGTCGGGGTCCGTCTTCCTGCTTTTCCTCTTCGCCGGCGACGGGGGAACCGACATCGTGAGCATCGGTGCCTCCTGCCCCGGATCGGATCTCTCGTCGAACACGTGGACCTCGGCCTTGTCTTCGTCCTTGTACCTGGCCTGGGTCGCCTTCTTCTGCTCGATGGTGGCTGTCCTCCGACGGCGCTCCTCTTTGATCAGGTTTGGCAAGAGCATCGAGGTGGAAAGGACCTGGATGCGCGCAAGTACGTGCCAGAAGATTCGGCGCGTGAGCCTGCACCAGCGGCGGCACGACTGCTTCAGGTCCATCCAGCCGCTGACAAGCCAAGTCTCTTCCTGCTCGCTCATCGCGGGCAGCTGGGACACCGCGTCCAAATTCTCGTCGGGCTCCGACTCCGACAGCAGCCGCGGCGACCTGCCGCACGGTGCGATCTTCCTGCCGGTGCCCTGCCTTCCGCCGCTCGATGACATCGCAAGCGCTGCGCCCTCCTCGGCAGCAGGCGGAAAGATGCTCCTCCTCACCTGCTCGAGCCAGGCACTCCGGATGATGGGCGTCGGGCCCGCTGCATCGCAACCCCCTCGGATCCCCACTCGGAAAAGGGGAAAGAGAGGGAGAGAGACTGGTGGCAACAGCGCGGCTGGGAAAAGTGGGCCGACTCTCACCAGTCGATCCCTCCCCACGGTCCTGGGTCATGAACTCTTGGACCGACATCCCCAGCGAGTCCTGGATCTCGCGGGCCAGCCCGAACATGGAGGCCGGCCGCTGCACCAGGTCCACCGAGCGGTGCCCGGACGGGTGCACGACCAGATCTAGCGTGACGGCGTGGTCGCCTACCTTCACACTCATCTGGTTCCGGGCGAGGGCGATCACCGAACCCAGGCATGAGAGAAATCTGGCCGGCAGCAGCGGAGGACATGGTCCGTCTAAAATCAGAAACTCTATCACGCCACAGCCTCCGAGTGAGACAGGGGCCCAACCCTTGCCGATGGGCACGGTGCGGCCTCCGATCCCTGACACGGCAACTCCTACCACTGGGCTCCAATCGTAGACGATTCGGTAGCCGTGCGTCTTCAGCGCGGCCTCAAGCCCACGAACCTCGGCACGTCCGACCAGAGCCTGAGCGGCGGCCGTGTCCACGAGCGCGTGGGTGCCCAAGCTCTTGAGCGCCACGGCGGCGAAGGTGGCCTGGGCGACATCGCGCGCGGCCGAGAAACCGTCAGCATCCTCGTTCACGAAAAAAACAGGTGAAGCCACTCACTGGGACCCCGCCGACTGTCTTCTCCCTGGCGATACGGTTGTTTTCGGACTGGAACGGGTTGGCGCAGCTCTCCGCCCAGCAACCTTGCTGGCCGCAGTTCGCACTGCGCGACTCGCAGCGGAAGTCCTCCTCACCGATCTTCCGAAACTCTGGGCGGGCAGGCCTCGAACCCTCGCGCCGATCAACGAACTCGTGGCCTGTCTTCTGGGCCAGCTTCAGCTTACGGGATCCCGCCCAAGTTCGTCGTCTCTCCTTCCAGTGCTTTTCTTCGACCACGGCAGCGAACACCTCCGCCACGTCATGCTCGTCCATCTCCTGTTCCTCTACGACCGTCAAGAACGCCAGCGTCTCGGCCTCCGGCAGCTCGATCGCGTCATCGTCGTCATGGTAGATCTCCGACCGGGGAGGACACTCCGCCGATGCCGATGCCGTCTCCTGCCGGACGTAGGACCTCGGCACTGGGACGGGGCCCGCAGGCAGCACTCGCTCTTCTTGAACATCGGGAAGCAAGAGAGTAGACCAAGAGGATGCCGCATCCGTCTTCCCACCTGCCAGGGTTCGCAGGTTGATCCCGTTCTGAGCCGACAAGTTAACTCCTTCCTCTGGATATCGTATCTGTACGTCGTCGGGGAGCGACAGTCCCCGGCTGGCTGCATCCGCGAACTGAGCGTCACGGCACAGCACAAAGTCGGCGATGCTCTCGTTACGCTGGATCATATAGTCGAGCAGCTCGAAACTGTGGGAGATCCTGTCACGATCTCCCAGCCCCTCCCCATTGAGTATGCTCGGGTGCTTAAAGCACGCGTCGACCTCGGTCTCCAGCTCGAGGGCAGTGAGAACCGGCTTGAACTTCAGCTGGAAATCGACGGGGAGGGCCCCGACCAGTCTCGACGCCTGAGTCTCTGGCTGGTGCCCGGTCCAGCAAGACCGGGCACGCACGATACTACTGTACAGCTCTAGGTGCTCTGGTCCGAGCCAGCCTGGTGGGGGAACAAAATCTCGGCTTCGCCCCAGACGTCCCTGGGTCGAGGCCTTCCACTCCTGAGAGTCCCACTCCTCGACCTTGTCGCCGACGTCGCCCGTCGCAGCTGACCGCGGCCTCCACGAGTTCCGCCAGCCCGAGCCCCAGCTCCCGCCAGCGGCGCGCTCCTCGCCAAAATGGCCTGGCACCTGGATGCCGACGGAGCACGCAGGGTCAGAGGCACTGCCATTCTCCTCGAAATCGTCCTTCTCATCCGCCGGCATGCCGGCGGCCGAGGGCTTGACTCTCCCTTTCGGCGCCAAGAGTCCTGCACCTGCTGCCCTCGGCTCGTCCGCTCCTCTCCACTGTCTGCCTCACAACCACGGGCTCCGCTTACCACTGTCACAGAATAGAGGGGGCTCGGAAGATGTAGGGGAACAAGAAGGAGGGCGGACGGTACCTTATGTGCACGCGCAACTTCTCTCAGCGACTCCAAGGCGTGAGTCGCTCCCTAAGCCAAAAAGGCTATGCACAACTGCAGGACACATAGGGCAAAGAGGGGGAGCAAGAGGGAAACCCGGGACCACCTCTGAGCGGGGTGACGATGACATCGGAAGCCCCTGGGAGGCTGAAGAGGGACGGGAAACACCCACGGGGCTCGATCCTCGAACCCCGATTCTCCTTCGCCCCCTCCTCCTCCTCCATCCCGCTTCCGTAAAAGAGCTCGACCACAAAAAAACCTTCCACACGAAACTCAACCCTGAGACCCCAAGACGTCCATCGATTTTGGACCGGAAGCGTCACGCTTCCTATAGCAAACCGACCTAAACCCAAGAAGCCCAGGGCACCCTGAAGGGAAGCAGGGTGTTTCTCGGCATGGTTGTCCACTGTAGCTTTTCCCTGTCGCACCCCGAGGCCACTCGAAAAGGCGGGCCGGGCGTTGCGCCTGAGACTTCCACACAATTCGTGACCCGGAAGCTTAGAATTGGCAACAGCTGCAAGGATGGAGGGCGGGCCGCTTTAAACATGTGGCTCTCGCCGTAAAGCCGCGCACTCTCGTCCTTAGGATTTGTGAGAGTATGACGGAAGCAGGGCGGGTAGTTTTCAACATGTGACTCTCGCCGCAGCGCCGCGCACACTATTTCTACACATTACCAGGGTTTCACGTCTTGAGGGTGGGCAGTTTTCAACATGTAATTCTCGCCTCAGCGCCGCCAACATTCGTCTTGAAAGTTTGAGTGTCACGGCTGGAAGGCGGGCCGTTTTCAAAATGTGGCTCTCGCCTCAGCGCCGCTCGCATTCGTCTCAAGAGTTGGCAGGAGTTCCATCAAAGGGTCCAATGGTGAAGTCCCAGAAACGGTGTTTTGGCACGATGTAAGAATATCAGGGTGCAACATTTACGTTTATTCGCGGCGTTCAAATTCAAGGAGTTGATATCTGGTGCGATTCAGGATCGCCAGGACGCAACAATAGCGGTGATTCGCGGCGCTATGAAGTCCCAAGAATGGTGTGCTGGCACAGTTCAGGATTTTCCACCGGTTGTCTTTCAACGGGGCACTTCCCCCAGTGAAAATGAATCCTTGTAGGGGCCCGTGAGGTGGGAACTTGGTGGGAGAGCTTGTTGCCATATCGATGGTGAGTCTGGGCTTTGCACTAGTCCTCCTCCCTCACCTCCTCTCCATCCTTCCTCTAGGTGGTCACGGGCACCGTGCGCCTGGCAATAGCACTTCGTGCCCACGGCGCAGCCGTTCGTACAGAGCTCGGTCCCAGAGACCTGCGCGAGACGGGCAGGGGCCCACGGGGTCGACTAGAGCCGCCCCAGAGCGGAGGAGACCATGGGTTGGATTGATTAACGTTGCTGTGCATTGCCGTGCATTGCCCTGGAATACATTAGTTCACTGTTTGGGGTCCACATTCATCTCGTAATGCCACTCACTGTTCTCCCAGGCTTCTCTCTCTCTCTCTCTGCCTCCCTCCTCACGCCTCCTTCTCCTGTTTCCACCTCCTCCTCCTTGTTATCCTCTTCGTCCTTCCTTTCCTCCTCCTCCTCCTGTTTCTCCTGCTCTCCCCCACGCCATCCTCCTGTGTCTACGTTCCTCCTCCCTCCCCCAAAAATATTCCTCCTTCTGCCCTCCTCGCCTTCCCTTCCCCCGCACCCTTTCTTACCCCTCTCCTTGTCCTTTTCCATATCATCCTCGTCCTCGTCCTCGTCCTCCTGCCCGACATCGTCCACCCCACGGCATCCACCTCCTCCTTCCCCTCCTTTTCCTGCCTGCCCTCCTCATCTCCCTCCCCATATCGGACAACCGCAACGACACGAATAGCGAACAAATACGAATAGCCACGCAATAAGAAACCCAGAGACAACGTGCCGCTACATCGTGTGCCCCATCCAGGGCCACCAGGCGCGCCCGTACTGCCCGTTTCGTCCACATCACGACGTCGAGCACCATCAAAACCTTGAACTCCTCATCCTCGCGATAACCACAATCAGCTCCCCAGGCGGTCGACATGTGCATATCTCTGCCTTCATCCTTCCCTCGCTTCTCCTCTGGTGGGCGCAAAAATCGGACAACAGCCCCTCCAACGAGTAGAGAGATAGCCGGCATCCCCCCCACCGAGTTGGAGAACGTCTCGTAGTCCGACTTGGTGTCGTCCAGCCCGCACGTCGACCCCTTGAATAAGAAACAACAGAAACCGTTGTTGGAGACCATGGTGCAATCTGCCGGGCGCGCCGGGACCGCTCAGCGGTCGATCACTTCCAGAATCACCAGTCCGTCGCTCTGCGCTTGATCGTTTTTTGTTGTAAACATGTGCTCATATACTTCGTACCCCGCAGATGCGGATAAGAGCGAGGGGGCGGGTGCGGGGTGGGTCGCGGGCTGGGTCGCGAGTGTAAGGACGACAACAACAATAACAATCAACAACAGCAACAACAACGAGAAAACAACAACAACAACAACAACAGCAGCAACAACAACAGCAACAACAACAACACCACCAACAACAACAAACAACAAACAACAAACAACAAAAACCAATCAACAAACACCAAACAACAACATCAACGACTACAACAACAGCAACATAAACAACTGCTACTACAACAACACCAACACTAACAACAACAACTACTACTACAACAACACCAACAAGAGCAACAACAATGGCAACATCAACCACGACAACAACAACCACACCAACAACACCACCACCAAACAACAACAACAACAACAACAACAATCATTTTACCCGAACGCTCAGTGTTCTCCCCAGTGCCAGGGTTTTCATGCGACGCCAGCCAATACCCCCACTTCGTGGGGGGGCAATGCAAGCTCTACCAAACATCCACACGACTCTCGGGAACCACCCACACCCAGCTTCCCGCCCTATGACGTCAGGACACTTCACTTCGTGGCGCGCGGACGATCGTGGATACTACACTGGCGTGGAGTACACACCCGCAGAGGTTAATCACTTGTTTGGGCCCCGCATGTGCCCCGCATCGTGCATTTGTTGCGCATGATATGAGAGCAAGACAGAGAGAGAGAGAGAGCAAGACAGAGAGACAGAGAGAGAGAGAGAGAGAGAGAGCAAGACAGAGAGCCAGAGGAGAGCTACGGTGCGATTCGTGTGATTTTATGATGCGCGGTGCTAAAATTCTTAAAAACCCAATGATTTTTGGAGATTTCGGCGTGCGCGCGCGAAGAAAAAACGAATGTGTCCCGCATGGTATTATTTGACAGGGATGATGGCCCTGGCAGGTGCGCAAACGTTGTCGCAGAAGTTCGAAAAAGTTGCTCGCAAAAGCCCGTTTGACAGAATTGTTTAAAAAGTGTTGGTTTTCCTACGAATCCGCAAGAGCGCGCGGAAGAACATTTTGACAATTTTTTCTTAAAAAACCATTGGGTTTTTGATGTTTTTATGTTAAAATCGCTACGAAACCTAAGGTTTTGGAAGGATTTCGTCTTGCGCGCACGAATGTCCACTTTACCTTATTTTTTGCAAGGGATTCTTGCAATTTGATCAAGTAAGAACAAGAATTTTCATTTTATAGTGTTTTTTGCAAGGGAAAACGGAGTACAACAAAACAACCGGATCCGGTAATAATTCACTTTTCTGAAGCTTTCGCTAAAAAATGATGAAAATGTAGCTGCGGCCTAGGTTTTGGAGGGGGGTCGCGCACCAGGGGTCCCAACAATAATTATTCTTTAGAAGTAATAATGTTCAACAACAACGACAACAACAACAACACCAACACCAACACCGACAACAATAAGAATGTTAAGACTGCTCGCTCTTACTGGCACGCGTGTCCTGCATTCCGTATACCCCAACCCTCGATACCCGCCCACTTGGTCTTCGATTGCAGCCCCTTTCGGGGGCAATCTCTTCTTTGTCGAACTGAAGTGCGAAGAAATCTCGAGCGATAGCGCCGTTCCTGAGTTCGGGGGCCTCTCTGGCCAGGGGCTCTCGGAATACCTATGGAAAATATCGAACGGGCTCTGCCCCCTCCCCCTCCCCCTACCCCCCTCTGCGCGTGGCCGGCTCTCGGGAAGGCAGAAGGAAGTCCCAAAAGAACCCCAAAACGGTCCAAGAAGGCTCCGAATCGCCCAACCATCACTGGAAGATGCCCAAGATGCCGTGAAGATGGACCACGAGGCACCAACAACATCCAAAAAGAGCCCCAAGAGCACCACCCCCAGGAGGGTCCCAAGAGGGCAAAAAGGATGGCATTATTTTGGTGTTGAAAGGTTCCAGAATTATTGCTTGTTCGGGCTCCCGACGCTTCAAAAAGGTCCAAGACGGCACGAGCAGGGCCCAAGATGTCACCAGTTCGGCTGAAGAGGCCCCCGAGACGGCTCAACGCAGCTTCGAAAGAGGGGGAAGTCGAATTGATATTTCGAGCCCTCCGCCGAAAAATAAGCCCGAGACCGCCAGCAAACCCCCAAGGGCCCACAAGAGGAGAGGCCCCAGGTGACCCCCGTGAGGCCCAAACAAAGCCCCACGAGGCCCCCGAGAGGCCCCAACACACCACCAAACCGCCTCCAAGCATTCCCACGTGCATCCAGACATGTACACACACGCATGCATGTATCAGATTCCCTTCTCTATATTTCTACCGCCTGGGACCTTGCCACCCCCCCCCTTACCGGACCCTCGCAAATCCGTAGCCCCAGAGGCCCCCTGGACGCTCCCGCAGGTCCCCGAGGCTTTCCGAGGCTCGTGGGAGTCCGGGCTGCGCCTGACAGACGGGCCCAAATTGGTCAGGAGGGTGGCCGAACGGCCCCGCGAGAGCCCCAAGAGGCCGCACACACACCCACCAGACGCTCGAAGACGACCCAAAGAAGACCCCAGGAGGCCTCCGAAACGCAACAAAAACAATGATTCCCAATTGATTCGTGCATGATTGCGGGAATGCTCTGTTCTTCAGTCTTCCGAGCGTCTAGGACCGCCCAGGAGGCCCGAAAATCGCCCCCAAACTATATCCAAACAGTCTTCCAGGGAATCCTAGAAAGCTCCAAGATGGCCCCACAAGCACAAGGCGCCAAGTCGGCCCGAAAAGAACCGCGTGTCGGCCCAAGATGGCCCCAAGACGCCCCCCGAAGCACCTCAAATCGGAACCCGGTCGTTCAGTCAGGCTGCGGTTAGAAGCAGGGTGGCCCGAAGAAGCACCCAGAGGCCCCCAGAAGGCGCCCAGGAGGCATCCAGAAGGCCCCAAGAAGCCCTTACAAACTTTCGTGAGGTCCCCGAAAGGGTCTCCAATGAGGAGCCTCCTCAAAAACAGTTGAGAAGGATGGGAAACGAATCCCAGGGTAGGCAGAAGAAGAAAAAAATATTAATAATTGTAAACATAAAAGACCAATAATACGATTAAGAAGATGACGAAGAAGAACATTCCGCATGTTATATTGATACTGGGCCACATTGTCATGGCGACGCTGTAGGAAAGCGTCGGCCACAAGCTACAGCTAAAATGACGGTGGCAGTTTCCTGCTATCCCGCCTGCATGCCACAAACTTCACGGACCAAGGTGCATGGCGCGAAACGCCAATGCAGTCTTGTGTATGCATGTCTATCTGTATACGCATGTCATAAATCAGAGTGAGGAGGCCGAACGGTCGTCCCGGGGTGAGCGGCTGAAGTGGGGTTCCGCGGTGCGGATTGTTGTTGCGTTGTTGCTGTTTCTCGTTGTTGATGGTTGATTGTTGTTTGTTGGGGATGTCGTTGCTGTTGCTGGTGTTGGTGACGTTGTTATTTTTGTTGTTGTTGTTGTGGTTGTGGTTGTGGTTGTGGTTGTGGTTGTGGTTGTGGTTGTTGTTGAAGATTATTACTTCTAAAGAATAATTATTGTTGGGGGCCCTGGTGCGCGACCCCCCCGCCGCGCCTAGGCCGCAGCCACGTTTTCATCATTTTCGTGAGGAAGTCTCAAGCAAAACGGGTTGGTCCGGATCCGGTTGTGTTGTTACGATCGGTTTTCCCTTGCAAAAATACGCTCAAGTGGACATTTCTTGTTCTAACATAACCAAACTTCAAGAATCCCTTGCAAAAAATAAAATAAAGTGGACATTCGCGCGCGCAAGACGAAATCCTTCCAAAACCGTTGTTTTCGTAGCGATTTAAACATAAAAACAACAAAAAACCAATGGTTTTTCCAAACAGTGTCAAAATTTCATCCCGCGCGCTCCTGCGGATTCGTAGGAAACCCAACACTTTTTCAACATTTCTGTCAAACGGGCTTTTGCGAGCAACTTTTTCAAACTTCTGCAACAACGGTTGCGCACCTGCCAGGGCCATCATCCCTGTCAAATAATACCATGCGGGACACATTCGTTTTTTCTTCGCGCGCGCACGCCGTCGTCGTCGGCCGCGGGGCCCTGAATAGTAGCCACGGTCGTCCGCATGCCACGAAGTGAAGTGTCCGAACGTCATAGGGCGGGAAGCTGGGTGTGGGTGGTGGCGAAGAGTCGTTTGGAAATTTGGTAGAGCTTGAACCGCCCCCCCCACAAAGTGGGGGCATTGCCCGCCTCCTATGAAAACCCTGGCACTGGTGAGAACGGAGTGTCCCCACGTGCTAGTAATTGTTGTTGTTGTTGTTGTTGTTGTTGTCTAAAGAATAACTGGTGTCGGCCCCCTCTCCGGTAACCATTGTGTTGCCCAATATAAATCAAGCCAGAATGCGTTCCTGCCCCATGGCTAACAACAACAGCGGCTCCCGCCTGATACTTCCTCACAAAGTATTCCCAAATCGCGCTCTCGCGCGGAACTTCCTGACAATGTATGCAGAAGTCGCGCTCTCGCGCTCTCGCGTGGGACTTCCTCGCAATTGATTCCGACGCCGCGACCTCGACACTCAGCGCGACTGATGCAGGACGCACGTTTCAGCAGTCCGCCTGCTCGGCCTGGCCGCCTGGGCCCGCCTTCCCGACCCGCCTGCTAAGGTCTACCCACCCGATCTGCCCGTCTGGTTTTGCCACGTGCTGTTTGCTGCCAGCCCCCATCCTGCTACTTTCTCTCTCTCTCTCTCTCTCTCTCTCTCTCTCTCTCTCTCTCTCTCTCTCTCTCTCTCTCTCTCGTGCTCCATCAGCATTTTTTCCCCTTTGTCCCTTTCTTCCATCCGTCCTCTTTTCCCCGCGAACAAGATTGAAATGGATGTCAGTGTCGTCGTTGTCGCCCCACGCACGACCCAAACCGCGACCCGCCCGCGACCCGCCCGCGACC